TTCTTCTCTAATACTTCTATGACTTCTTCAACATTTTCATTTTGTGCTTTCTTAACTTCTTTTAACTGTTTATCATCATCTATATCGTTCTAGTTTTTTTGATCATCATTTTTGGAAGTAGAAAGTAGTAGTTCTTGTAATTCTTCTTCAGTTTCTATGGAAGTGTATATATCACTAGTAATAGATAAATCTGCAAGTCCGATTTTTTTGTGGCAATCGAAACATAGCTTCACACAGACTTGTCTTAATTGCCAAATACAGATCATGGTTCTTTTTACTATGAATAAATCACAGTCCTTCTGACCACTTCTGTGAATTATTGCCAGTCATCCAAGCTACTAACATGTCATGGATGTCTTGATTTGACCTGTCAACCAAACCTTGACTTTGAGAATGTCGAGGTTTTCCATGAACAAGTTTCATCCTGGGCTACATTGCTGCTAAATTGTTAATTATTTTGTTAGCAAATTCACAACCATTGTTGCTTTGCAATATACATGGGGCACTGAACAAACAAAATACAGTGGTACCTCGGTATACGTCTGCTTTAAAATACGTCCAATTCGAAATACATCCTGTTTGGACGAAACAAATTTTGCTTGGTATACGACTTAATTCAATTATACGCGCCATCTATGAACAAGTAGCAGTATCGGTGTACTAGGCCAGACTAGACGTTTGCAGTGCAATGGTTTATGACTTTGTTAAATTTATTCTGATTTTAATTTGTATGTAAAATTTTATTATTTTTATTAATCATGAATTGCAAAAAGGCAACTGAAAAAGCAACAGACAACAAAAAAAAAAAAAATTACTAGAATCACAATGGAACTGATAGAAGAGATTGTTGAGAAATATATGCGTGTTCAAGACTTTAACTGTTGCATACCGTATTCCGAGAACGACGATATCGACAATCGTGAAAAATAAAGACATTATAAAATCTGATAACGTAGCAAAAAGGGTTAAATCAATTTCTAAACAGAGATCAAAGACATTAGATTATGTTGAGAAATTGCTTTTGCTTTGTATAATTGAAAAAAATGTGCTGGAGACAGCGTATCAGAACCAATTATTTGCGAGAAAGCTAAAAAGATACATGCTGATCTCATGAAAAATCAAGCAGGAACTAGTAAAGAAAGCGAGGTGTTTAAAGCCAGCCACTTTTTTTTTTTACATGAGAACGGATTAATCATTTTTACATTATTTCTTATGGGAAAGGTTGGTTTGGTATACGTCCAATTAGGTATAAGTCCAAACATCAGAAACAGATTAAGGTCGTATACCGAGGTTCCACTGTATATCCAAAAGTTGATAAGCTACTTTGGCAGTTTTCATTTTCAGAAAACAAAGAATTGTAAATTTAGTCAAGTGATCTTGATAATTCATGATAAATTGATAATCTTTGATTGCTTCAGACTGCATGTCAATTAAATCAAGTTGACATCAGAAATTCATGCTGTCAGACGAAATAGATCTCACCACTAAACCACATTTTGGTATCTTTTTCTCAGTGGACATTGTTCACAACCTTAGGTATAAGTTTATAATTTGACATGTAATATTACGGCATTTCTTTTTCAGTTCAGCTTCCATAACTGCAACAAAAATAATAAATAAAATAATTCCACAAGTTGATTCAACATTTTTAGGATTCCGTAGCCAAATGACAAAAACGGAATCCTTATAGTTTCGTCATGTCCATCCGTATGCCACACACTTATAACTCAGTCATCATTCCATCGATTCTGATAAAATTTCACATGCAGGTGTCTTATACAAGGGCCATTCAATAAATAATGCACATAATTTTATTTCTTGGCTGCCTTTCATTGGAATTGAGCAAAACTTTGCATAATGTATTTTTAACATATGTTGTATAATGGCACGAAGTTTCCGTTATTTCCATTAAATGGTGGTAGTGTAGTTTAGTTTTAAAATAGCAGATACACATGAGACACATTCAAAGCAGAGAGCTGTGACTGAATTTCATTTTGTAGAGCACAAGACCATCTCAAACATTCACAGATAGTTACATGTCCATGGGGATGAAGCAGTGAATAGGAGTACTGTCAGTTATTGGGTTAGTAGAGTGTCAATGACAGAACAAGGTAAAGCAAGACTGTCAGATCTTCCATGCTTGGGACGGCCACACACTGATGTGACTCCGGAGACAGTTCAACACACCAATAGGCTTATTCGAGACAACAGGTGAGTAACAACCAAACAACTTGTTGCTCAACTAGGCATCTCTATAGGTAGTGCCAACACAATTATCCATTGCTTAGGTTATTCAAAGGTTTGTGCCAAGTGGGTCCCTAAGTGCCTAACTAAAAACAATAAGGAGCAAAGAAGGACCATTTGTGCAGAGTTGCTTGAACATCATGAAACTGATGAAGATTTCTTATCCAGGACTGTCACAGGAGATGAGACCTGGATTCATCATTTTGAACCTGAGACCAAACAACAATTCATGGAGTGGCTTCACAAAAATTCCCCTAGGAAGAAAAAGTTCAAATCATGACCCTCAGTGGGCAAGATTATGGCCACAGTGTTCTGGGATTCTGAAGGTATAATTCTGAGTGACACATTGCCACCTGGTGAAACAAACTACAAGGTTTACAACACTCTGAAGAAGTTGAAGAAACAATTTAGGCATGTTTGTCCCCATAAAGATGTTAACCAAATTCTCCTTCAACACGATAACAGGAGGCCACACACTAGCCTGCACATGCATCAAGAGATCACAAATCTTGGATGGACTACCCTTCTTCATCCACCCTACAGTCCAGATCTTGCACTTTCTGACTTCAATTTCTTTAGGCCCCTGAAGGATGCTATCCAAGGGAAGGTATGACAATGATGAGCAAATCATAGAAGATGTGAGGAAGTGGCTGAGAGACCAGCTGAGTGGTACCAAACTGGCATACAGGCTCTGGCAGCCAGATGGTATAAGGCCTCTCATAGATTTAAATGGAGACTATGTGGAATAAAGGTAGATGTAGCCAATTAAATGGGGAATAATGTAGTATATTTGGATTTGTAAAAAAAATAAATCTTGAGTAAGAAAAAGACCTATGTGCATTACCTATTGAACATCCTGGTATAAACGGTCATATAATAACGAAGTGAAATCATGAACAAATAATAATTTAGGGGTAGCTCTCCATACATAAAACTGAGGGATGAAAATTTTTTTCATGCAGTTCATTGCCTGAGGTATCGTTGGATAGGTCATTAAAAATAAAAAGATGTCCTTAAGTGACTTTTTTATTCAGGTGAATATTTTGTGAGATACGAACTCCTAAATTCATGTTAACTTTCAAAATGTGTCCCCCTCATCTAACTTTCCACCATGTGATTAAAAAAAATCAGCAGAAAATCATGATAGTAGCACTTAAACACTTTCAACAAAAATTGTTTTGAACAAGATATGTTAAATAGTTTTTTTACATATCTGTAATTTTCAGTTACCAACAAACTTAATTTGGCGGTTTGTGAAATAAGCCTTGATTTGAAGGCCTGAAAATGATAGATGAAAATAGGTTATTTAACATGCTACAGAATCCTGAGTTAATTAATGCATGTCCGACACAAACTTGGCCGATTTTTTTAAAAATTTCATCCAACCTGATTTTTCAGTCAAACATCATCAATAGCACAAGCACTATCTGTGCCTTTTGCCAAAATGAAAAAAGGAGATCTATTTTATTTAACATAATAATAATATCAAATAATAAATTTTACTTGCAAACTATTCTTCCTATTCTTATATTAACCACGTAATAAAGCAAGAAACAAAAAGAAATGTGAAACAAGAAAAAACCTATGTCCCTCAAATTACAGTTTTGGCCTACTGTGCAGTGCTAACAAAAATCATATAAAAAAAAATCAAAAAGACAAAATGTCTCAATTCTTTTGATCAACCTACTTACCCCTTGTCCATTTGTGTCCTGTGCTATCACAAATGCTATCCACTTTCACTCAATTTTTCAGTGTCACCAATTTTTAAGACATGATACCATTTAAGATGACAATACTGCTCTGTTGATAGAGATTGGTTGCTTTTTTAAGCAGCTGAGCCTGTTTTGTTTGCTGAAGTAACATTTATCACTAATGAAAAAACTGATCAGTACTTGTCTTCATTAATTCACTTAATTTATCATAAAATATATAATTTTTACTAGCCATAATTAGTGCACAAATGTTCACATTCAAAAATGACAGTCAAGAATGAACACAACACAAACTTGGCGGCTGTTTTCAATGCGCCTGTTACAACTTGTCCATCGTATCATGGTTACATCAGCTAACATTCAGAATGCATTATGGTTTTTCTTAATCACCGCAACGCGTAGTGGTCAAATAGCACGAAAGCCATTTTTTGCTTTTTTTTTTTCTTTGTGGTCTTTTTGGGATAATAATTTCTTCGGTCCCTTGAATTTTTTTGCAAAAAGTAATGTAAATTATATTCTGTTAATGACAGGTTTTCACTATAGACAGTTTTGACTGTATATACACTAACACACACACCATGGCGGGGGAAACAATTCAACTTAACTCCAAGATATAGCAGTTTCAAAATTTGATTGATATAATAAATACAACAAAAATGATTTTATCTGATGAAATCATCACAAAGAAAGTGTAAAAAATAATTTACATTTAAGTAAAATTGAGCAAACATTACATAAAAACCTTTACTAAAGAAAACATTAATTTAAATAAATGTTTAATTATATTTTTTATAGTTTTTTTCAAGTTAATGTTTCAGTATGTACTTAAATAAGAATTTAAAATATTTTTAATACAGTGAGAGAAAAAATCATCAAATATAACTTTATAAATCAAAAATATTTGCTTATTTCATGTCAAATGCTTTGAAGAATATGACAGATAACTTCAAAAATAGTAAACTTTAAAATTAGGATTATAAATTCAATTTTTCATTTAAATTTATGAATTGTTCATAATTTTTAACTTTACAAAAATTTATTTACCTAGTACCAGGCCTCTTATTTCCATCTTCTGAACCTTCCATGACAAATTAATTAGGAGCATGCAGAATAAGCAGGCAGCTGACTATAAAATCTACCGATCAGTAACAGAGAGACAACTGATTGTAAATTGGACCAGTAGTTATTTTTCTGAAATATATTAAAAAAAGTAAACATTTAAAATCATTAAGTTGAAGTATAGCTTCTTAAATATACATATAACATTGAAAAAAATAATTTTTATTCACAAAACAAGCAGATAGTTGATTGTATTTACAATAAACTATTATTGAATAAGTGAAAATTTAAATAATAATATGAGTATCTTCATCTTTTGTTGAAGAGGTTAGTAATAGTGCTGTGCTGATAACCAATATATCAAACCAAAATCGATATACGTTTACAATATCAATGTCCGACATTTTGGTATACTGCCATTCACTATTTCGATATTTGATATTGATGTACCGAAATATCAATGTACCGAAGGAATCTTGATAGTAAGTCCAACAGTAATATCAAAATTTTACTTAGCACATTCCTAATCAACAATAGTTCAATTTTATTTTGACCTAATTAAATACAAAGTAAACCACTAAAATGTATTTCATTTGCATCTTGAATGTTTTCATTCTCTTATCCATTTTTTTTTTCTTTAACATACATTCACATAACCAAACTGCAATTTCTTTTGAACAGATTAAGTAAATCACACTTGTAATCCAATAGGAAAATTTAATGCAAGCAAATTAAACTAATTTATATACTAATTCAGATTCGGGAATAAGAATTTAAACATATAAAATGGAAAGTAATGATTAATTCTATATTTATTTAAATTCCTATTCTTAAATATAATTATGGCTACATAATTACACTGTCTAGGTATACAGATTAAGGTTGTAAGAGCCTAACAACAAGCTGTCTTCCTACTTACATTCAACACAGTCTTGTATACCAGATATATAGATAATTCTCATAATATGATACAGGAAACCTGATTTACCAAGCTTTTTGTGTAAAATCAACCATTATGGCCTAACATTTTGCAAAGCTAACATATAGCACTTTTTTTTTTACACATAGAGATCACTTTCCAAGACTGACAGATTTCCACTAAGATATACAGAAAATCTAGCTGCCTTCTCTTTATTATGAAAAAATTCCACAACCACCACCAGTTATGACCTTCCAAGCTTTTCTTAAATGAGCTTACACCTATTGTTCCTATAACATTGACAGAAATAATGAATTAGATTACATTAAGAAATAGGTGAGTGAGCATGAGTATTCAGGCAATATTGTGGCATGTTATGGCACACAAAACATCTGTAAACAACCTGAAGGTAATAAATTGAGACTAATAATCATCAATGTGTGTGTTGTAAAAGAAATCCATGGTTTACAAACTTCTTAGGAACGATAAACATCCAATCATCCTGCAGCATATACTGGGATATACTGTGTTCTAGTCATAGACTACAGGTTCAACACTGACTGAGGAGCCACCTCCTGTTTCCTTGGAACAAAAGATCAAACAACATGAGCTAACCATAAAAACAGGTAATCCAGTGACTAGAGCAGTCACTGGATTACCTGTTTTTATGATGTCACTGATCAGCTTATGGAAGTAAACTTCCAAAAGACCAAGATATTGAGATGTATACATAATCTCGTGACCTAAACTACATAGAGTAATTAGAAATTTACAAATTGGGTAAGACACTAATGTTATTTTGTGTACCTGGTGAATGTTTTATAAAATTCTGAACGAGCAAAATGGTGTATCCTCTTCTGTACTGTCTGTTTACTATACTTTAATATGTAATGTTATAGTAAATGTTATGTAAATCTTGGTTTTGTATACAATGAAGTAATTTTTCTATGTAAACAGCATTCATTTCAATTCTGACCAATCATACTATATGTTCCATTTTTTGAACAGTAGTTCCAAATTCATTTAAGTACATATTGTTCATAGAACTACCTGATGATTGTCAATACATACAACCAAAAATATTAGCCATATTAAACTTAAGTAATCTGTTGGAACTTAAAGGTTTTGTTTCCTCTTTTGTGATTTTTCTTCCAGTAACTAGTTTCAATTTTCAAATATAATTTTATATTTTTAATAATTTTTCTTCTTTGATTCACTTACAATAAAAAATCTCGGTTACTTCCAATGCTATGATTCAGATTAAAGTTAACTAAAATACACTGCAAAATATTATCACATACTGTACTACAATTTATCAAATAAAAAAAAACAATATTTTTTTTTCTCATCACTACATTTCTGGAAAAAACCAACTATACTAAACAGTAACAGAAAAAACTAAAATGTCATGATTATTTATTTCATCTACAACAGGAAGTACTGATTGACAGTAGATTTCCTTCCGCCTATGTATAACAAGCCCCTCAGCAAAAAATTGATAAAATACTAAAATACAAAAAACAAAACACATTCATTGCCATAAAAATTAGGGCACCAAGGAAGGAGTTCTCGTATTGCTACAAAACTTGGCATGCAGATAAGTCACAAGCAGATATGGAAATGGATAGTATTATGGCTCATCGCGTAATACCAACAGAGTATTACGCGATGTTAAACTGTATCCCCCTTCGCCTATAAAAAATACACAAAGGCATCCTGTCTATTGTTTGCCTGTTGCAGAGGAATGCTGTATCACTAGAGATGCCTTTATGTCACAACTGAAGACCATATGAACAACTAACAGAGTTTGAGAAGGCTTCCCCTCTCAAACTCTGTTATCATCCGGTTGAGAGAAGCCAGATGGCCATCTCGCTGAATAGCCCATCATCTAGGCCATTCTGACAACATTGCAGATGTGTTGAGACCAGTGGACGAGACAGAGCTTGTGCACAAGGCACCCAGGCTCAGGATGCCCTTGGCAGACCACTAGCCTGAGAAAACTTCTGATAATCCAACAAGCACGCACACAGCCAACTGTATTGTTGTTGCCCACCATCTAGACACAGGTGGTGCCATCATTACAAGCTCCTGTCTGTCCTTACAACTTCAAGGTGCCTGAATGAGGAACATTTGGTATCACAGCAGCCATTACATGTGCTGCCATTGACACTACCCACCATTGACTCCATTTGAGTGGTGTCAATCCCTACGGGAGTGAACCATAATGGAAAATAAGCTGGGTCATCTACAGCAATGAATCCGTATTCAGTTTGGGCACTGACGATGGCCATGTTTGTATCTGGAAGCCCCATGGTGAATGTCTCAATCCTGCCTACACTTTGGAGCAGCACACAGCCCCCACAGCTGGAGTGTCATCACATACAACAAGAAGTCACCTCTAATAGTGATCCAAGGAACCATGACAGGCCAGCAGTATGTTAGTGACATCCTGCAGCCACATGTGTTGATTCTGATGACAGTGTTCCCAAGATCCATTTTCCAACAAGATAATGCTCAACCAAACACAGAAAGGGTGTCACAGGACTGCCTCTGCCACATTGCCACACTTTCCCAACTTGCCTGGTCCCGATTTGTCATCGATTGAACTTGTCTGGGACGGCCTAGGAATTTGGCTGTCTAACTCTAGAGGACTGCTTACAGCAACTGTGGACAGATACCATAGGACACCATACAGCACCTGTATGCCTCCATGCCTGCCCTTATCACCCTTATCCATGCCTTATCATCATGTATTCGCGCTAGTGGTGGCCCAACAGGATACTAGAATCTCCTTTCATTTGTATTTTTTCGTGCAATAAATGATCCTTTTGCTTTCGTTTTGTGATCTCTTATTTATACTGTAATCACTGTTACACTTACATATGTACAATTTCATTCAATTCCAACTACTACTTCTTGGTGCACTAATTTTTATGGCAACAAATATACATTAAGAAGCTAAAAGTTCTAAATACAAAAAATGTTTAAAATACATAGATGCTCTTAACAGACTATTATAACAAAATATGAATTTGAACATAGTTACCATAGAGATGCACATTCCACCAAATAAAAGACATTCATTAGTTGGTAAAGAACAGACACAGGATATTTATATTATTACACTTTTGCTAAATTTTAAATTATATCCAAATACACTTTAATATTTTTTTGAACTTCAAATATGAACATTTGATACTCTCATGGGATTTGATGAAAATGGTTTTCATTGTGATATAGCCTAAGCTAAGTTTTATTTATAACATATTATAAAAGTTAAAAAAAAAAAAACTTTTTTTATGCTTTAAATAGTTACATGCTCAGTGGTAAAATCTGTTCTGATCACAGAAAAAATTAACCTCCACTTAAATATTTTTTATTCATTTTATAATGAAATCAATAGTAATTTAGATCAATAAAATTAGAAATGTCTTTTTATAGACACAAAATTATGTTAAATATTCAAAATTTGTTTAACCTTTATATTAAAGTTTGAAGATAAAATAAAAATATATTAAATATGAACATAAGAAAAATTGATTTGCATAAAAAAAATCTAAAATTTTACTAACCAATAGAGATCAATATTACCATTAATTAATAATGATGATGATTGATAATTCTCATTCATTTTAAATAGTGACCACATGATTAAAATCTATTCTTGAATCATACAATATTCATCACATTTTAAAAATCTCCGAATTAAAAAAAACCTCTTCACTACTGATTCTACTTTTATAAATATTAAAATTACAATATAAAACATTCATGAACTACTTTTTTATATTTAGAGTCAGTACAATTTCAATGGCATGCTTCGGTACAATTTTTTATCACTAAGCAAATCTTAGTTTCGGGTAAAATGGATGTTCTTTAATATAATCATTTTACAAATACAGTATTTACAAGTCAACAATAACGGGAATGTAAAATACGTGTGTTCTGAAAGTGAAATATGTTTTGTAGTAACAATGATAAAATTTAACATATGGAATGAATTCTATTTAGCTCAAGTCACCTACTTAATAATAAAATTATTAATAGGAGACATTAGTATTTGAAATATAAATAATTTAATTCACTTAACATTTTTTTAGTTTAAATTTTTAAAGCATAATATATTTTAATCTAGTCTGTTGAAATATATAATCAAGCTGAATGAAAAGACGTATGCAAAAATTATGAGTTTAAATTCCAATCTGGATGACGG